CTCTGGAACTGGATTTATGGACAGTTATTAGCTGCCTTGTGGGTGCTGGGAACTGAACCCAGGACCTCTGCAAGAGCAGCCAGTGCTCTTAGCTGCTAAGCCATCTCTCTAGTCCCTTGGTGATAGTTTTTTTTAAAAAAATATTTTATTTATTATTTTTATGTGTATGAGTGTATTGCTTTCATGTGTGTAAGTGCATCCGTGTTGTGCAATGCCCTGAGGAGGTCAGAAGAAGGTGTCAGATTCCGTGGAACTGGAGCGACACATGGTTGTTAACCACCATGTAGGTGCTGGGAATTGAACCTGAGTCCTCTGCAAGAGCAGTCAGTGCTCTTAACCACTGAGCCATCTCTTCAGCCCCCTCAGTGACAATTTTAAGCACACATACAGGCACACAGACACACACCCCAGTTATCAAGCCAGGAAAGGATACTGTCTATAACCCATTTCTTTCTATCACAATTATGTTGATGAAATGTTAGATAATTCTAACATGTCAATCTCCAGATTCTGGAACAGAAGGCTGTCTGATGTTTAAAATGAAGAAAATTCAGTATCAACTGCAGCACTGACTTTTAACTTTGCTCCCCTACCCCAATTTTTGGATCTTTTCAGTTCAGGCTGAAGTTACTTCCTTAGGTGGCCTATTTCTGATGAATATTAACTAATTTTGGGCACCAGTAAGATATTCTCATCTGTGATTAATTCCTTAATAAGGTTACTAAGTTCAGGGTGAACAGCTGAGTGTTAAGTCTAGGAAAATGAATTGGAAGAAATAAGGATGGTGTGTTCCCTGAGAGTGCTCCTTACACATGGATACATACTTTGGGCTCTGGCTCACCTGGTGTGAGTTAAGAGGCACTGGGTTGGTCTACCCTGGTCTATTGAAGTACACTAGATACTTTCGAGAGAATTGAAGAGAACATGGGAAACAGAAGTGGAAAACTATATAGGAAGCTGAAGGTCACAAAGATAAAACCTACCTGGAGACAGTCCTACTAATCAGACCTGTCTGAAATGGAAAGTAATTGCAGCCAATTTCTCTGAAAGGCCCCATGGACTCTGTGTTTCAAAAATTCTCAGTTAAACTCTATTTCATTGGTCCAGGGAGTCTCATACTCTGAGATTAACACTTTCATAACAAGGCTGGTGGCTGGCCAGTGCTGAAGAGGAGGTTGAATTCTAACTGAAATGAAATCTAAGGAAGCTGCTTTGAAAACTCCTGGTTCTGTTTATAACTTTTTCTCTAAGTAATTTATTGAGAATTTCATACAGGCATATAAGCATATAAGGTGTTTTGATCAAATCCATGCCCACTCCCTCCCTGTTCTAGTTTGTTTCTTCACTACTGTGACAAAATACTCTGACCAATACCAACTTGGGGAGGAAAGGGTTTATTTGTCTTACATCTCCCAAGTCGCAGTTCATCAGGGAGCCCAAGGTAGGAACTCAGGGCAGGAACCTGGAAGCAGGAGCTGGAGCACAGGCCATGGAGGAACACTGCTTACTGGCTTGCTCCCCTGGCCCCTGCTCAGCCTGCTTTCTTATGCTACATAGGCCCACCTGCCCAGGGGTGGTACCACCCACAGTGGGCTGGGCCCTCCCACATCACTCATCAAGAAGATGCCCCTCAGACATGGCCACAAGCCAGTCCAATAGAGGCAATTCCCCAGTTGAGGCTCCCTCAACCCAGGTGTGTCAAGTTGACACTAAAGCTATCCAGCACACTCCCTTCCAACTCCTCCCATATCTCCCCATCACTTTTTTTCTGATAACTTCATGCACTCTTTCTTCTTTTTTTTTAAATGGGGCTTTTTGCTACTCTAACATTTCCCTCCCTCTGAAGAGGTAACCCTAAAATCTTTTAAGAATTAGATGAGAGCTCCCAAATACTTTTGACATTTTTGGCCTCTGGAACAGAGTATGTTGCTAAGAGGCCCAAGGGCATTTTGATTTTTAGCCAAGAAACTGGCTACTTTTCTTTGGGGTCTTTTTATCCTAACTGCCTAGCCAATTCCTACCTTCTATTCTTATCACACCATCCTCTGAAGAGGTTATCCAGCTTGTGGATAGGGAAATCAGGATGCACATGGCTCTGGCTTCTTCCATGCTGAACAGGGATGCAGGGTGAGACAAGTTGGGTACCCCTCCAGTGGGTCTATCTAAAAGACTCCTAAATTGCATAACTCTTATCTGTAGGGGGAAAATAAAGTCCTTGACTGGTGAATAGGAGATGTGAAGGAGAAGTAAAGGCAAGAGTAATTAGCATTACAAGTTCTAGACAGGGAACTAGAAAAAAAAAACAGAACAGGGAAAATTTCAAATGTTCATGTGAGAGTCCATTGGAATTTCTTGATGAGAGCTTCCAAAAGTATCCCTCTATTGGGTTCCTCCTCATTTTTCTTTTGTCTGCCAAAGCTGGACTCGAGAGTGATGGATTCAGGATTTGCTTTCAGGCATTTTGATAGCTGCTGGAGTGGTTAGAATCAGTATCAATTCCCTCTCAAAGGCTTCATTACGTGAAGGCAGCCAGGTGCTCTCAAGGCAGCCCCCCGAGTTCTCAGCCCCTATGCTAGAGGGAAGTGGGAACAGGCACTCTCTGGCGGTCTGCTGAGATTCCAGCAGCTATACAGATGGAGGTCAGAACCCACCTTCTCAGGCTGTCTCTCTGTTTATAATTTTACTGTGTGACATTACAAAAAAATATGATGGCCACTCAGCACCTGTTATTTAATCACCAGAGAACAGGCTATCCTGGATTTGAAGTTGGAAGTATTTGTACGAGTCTGATGCTGTCATGCTTCTAGTTAACAAACAATATCGAGAACACGAGCCTACATAGCTATGATATGTCACATAAAATCCCTATTTTCTCCTTTGGGAGCCCCTGAAGATTTCATCCTTTGTGAGCATACTGCTAATTCAGTGGTAGTCTGGTTGTTTTGGAACTCACCTTTTTTACTTTTTTCAATCATCTGATGCATTCCAGGATGGGAAAATAGAACAGCTAGAAAGAAATTGCTTAGGAAGTGGTCTCAAGGTGCTTAAAAAATTCTAGATGAAAAAATTTTTCTTTTTTTATAAAAGATTTATTTTTATTTTATGTGTATGTGTGTTTGCCTACATGTGTGCATGTGCACTGCATGTGTACCCGGTGTCTGCAGAGTTCAAGAAGATGGCATTGGATCCTTTGGAACTAGATTTACAAGTGGTTGTGAACCACCATGAGGGTGCTGGGAATAGAACCCAGGTCCTCTGTAAAAGGAGCAAGTGCTCTTAACCACTGAGCCCCCCCATCTATCTCCAAATCCTTTTTTCTTAAATATGTAGTTCCCAACTACATTTCAAGTATGACTAGGAATAGTTATGATACATCTAGGGACTGATACTATCTACAGTTTCTTATCTGCTGGAGGTCTTAAATATATAAGGGTGGGGTACTACTTGCAGTAAAACCTTTTTGTGAATGTCATACAACTTATAGAGTCCCAGATTCAGTTATTATTTGCTTAAAAAAATCTGTGCATCAAAATGCTAAGAGTAGTAAAGTGTTTCTGTCTATCTAGTCACAGAATTAAGTTAACAAAGCACACCTGAAGGGTCTAGTATTACAAAGGGAGGGGAGGAAAAAGCACAGAGCCCGAACACTTTCTTCGTATTCTGTACTATTCTAGGTATTATACTATGAGACCTTGCTTAATGCTCACCAGCTGTAGGAAGGAGGAATTATTACTGCTTTTATGAAGGTAATAAATCTACATCTGAGAATCATTATGTAACTTTTTCCAAAGGCCAATTCCTAGAAGACTCAACAGTTCCTGTTCTTTCCATCATAGCATGTTTCACTGTTAAGTTTCTCTCTCTGGGAAAATATCACAAAATCTTCTGCCTGGCTTAGTATCACCATCAAAATCTGGAATGAGTTTTCTAATGAATCACCATGAAGTAGGCAGAGGGGCATGCTGACAAACATTAATGTCATAACAAGGTCTGGTTAGGAGCATGGTCACAGGAATAATAAACCCTAGCACTGTAAGAGCTGTAGTCTCTCTGGTGAGTCACAGTGTGAGGCATAGGCAAATTCAGCCTATCTTCTTTCTGAGCCAGGAAAAACTTCCATTTGCCAGCTACTTTGCTGGTCTTTGTTTCCAGAAAACTAGTAATAAATGTACTTTTGAAAATACATTATTAATGAAATAATTCTCATAAAAGGGTGGTGTAAAGGATGTGAGACTAGATTCTGTTTGACAAAACAGGAAGTGTGTTCATACCTAACTTAAGTTTTATGAACTGAGAAATAGTCTCAAGTCAGGGTCAAGTTCATCAGAGAGTGGTCAGCTAAACTTCTTCATGTGGTATGCCAAAGATGCAGGAAGGGGAGTGGTGGTATATGCTATCTGTTTTTGTCCCTCCTTTTTTCTCCCACCTATTAAATTTATGATTTGGGGCAAGTAATTTAGTATCTTTAAGGTCTTTATAGCAAAATGAGGGTATGGACACCATATTTACCTAAAGGTACTACTTGTTAATCTGATCTTCATTTTTTTCAGCTACAGGACTTAAGATTCTACTTTTTAAAAGGGTTTTGAAAATAATTTTGAAAATAATTGTGCTCTGTCAATGACGTGGGCAGTATGCCAATTCTTTTTCTGTATCTGAAGAACACCAAGGAAATCTGTCACATAAGCTAACTTGATTATGGCTTGTGATTCCTAGTTGGGGAGGGGTCACTGTAAATCACTTAAACACAGGAATGTAGAGCAGTTTAAGTACCTATGTAAATGTTGAAATCCTAGGCAATAACATTGTGAGAAAAATATTACTAAACTCACCACTGCCTTGCCTTGAGAGGAAACAGAGCTAATGTCTCCTCTGTGGGAAGCACTCACTGAAGGGCATTTTTTCTCTGCCTTCAGGATCCATGCTCCATGCAGCAAGTACAAGATAGGCTCAGAGTTACTTATAGGCTCAGAGTTACTTATTACAGAGCTATATCTTACCTGGGATCACAGAGAAATTTGGTTTTCTCTCCTTCTTCTCTCCAGATAAGCCATTCTCGAAAAGAAGGATGCACAAACATTCGAGTCATGTCTCTGCGCTTGATTAGGAACATGGAGAGGTTCTCCATTCTCTGCTGAAAATCTTCCCATTCTAGTGTGCCTTCAATGCTACCAGCATTGATGGCCTGGAAGATATGTTCATCAGTCAGTGGGTGGAGAGAGGCCACTGCCACATTCAGGAGAGGCATCACCCGGTCAAAGGAAGACTGAGTTGGGAACTTCATATTGCATTGGAGTAAATAAACCTCAGAGAGTGAAACAGGAACTACTTTGTAGCTAGAGCTCTTTAACACTAGATAGCCTTTCTCTATGAGGTCAAATGTGAGTTTCAGGTAGAGATAAGACCCTTGGCTGAGGGTCTTGAGATGAGAACTGAGTTTGCCAAATGTAGTATTGTCCATTTTGCCATTAAGTGAAATGTTATTCTGGATCTCTGAGCTGCTGTGTATCCGGTGCAGGATGTAAGCCTGCAAGTCCTGGTCTATGGCTTCATTCTCTTCTAGTCGATCCAAAAAAATCCTATGGAAAGGCAGCAACTTGGTAATTTCCTAAAATAGATGGAGAAAGAGACAGAAAGACCTTCAGTTTCCCCTAACTTTTATAAACTATGAGTCCAGAAATTTATCCTGAACTTCTGAGTGGCCAAAGAGGAAAACATTATCAAGTACTGATATCCAGAGATTCAAACAAACTATGTGCACAGTAAGAACACTGCTTTTCCTAATATTGAGACTTAAGGTGATTTTTATTGGTCTTTGTAAGATACTTTAGCAGTGATTTCATGGTTATTATTCTAAACAACTCTCCTCAAATAAACAGAAACTAGAGTGTTGCGTAAGTCTTTGGCCATAATTTTTCTCAGTGTAAACCATGGTATAATGCCAAAGTACAATTCAGTAAGGGAATGTTTAAGAATTAAAAATAATATCATATGAAAATGTGACTTAAGAAAAGATGAATGCCAGGCGTGGTGGTGCACACCTTTAATCCTAGCACTTGGGAGGCAGAGGCAGGCGGATCTTTGTGAGTTCGAGGCCACCCTGGTCTATATAGTGAGTTCCAGGACAGCTGGGGCTACAGGGAGATCCCATCTCCGCCCCCCAAAAAAAGATGAAAAAAAAAGATGAAAAAAAATATGGCTTTCTAAGTTTCCTAACAACTGCATTTAACACAGGGTTTCTGAGGTCCTGGAGCTGAAAGCTTGGCCTTCTAGCAATCTGCTTAGGAATTATAGAGTGAAGGTGATAGGATGACTCTCATGTATGCCATTCTGTCCTTTCCTATCAAATTCCTGCCAAGAGGACTAGTGACCTGAACCTTGCCAAATCCAAGAGTCAGTTTTCAGTTTTCATTTCCTTGGCCTCTCAGCCATGTGGCAGCTGACCACGCCTTTATGCAGCATTTGGGGGAGTTAATTTCAGCATTTTTTTCACTTCCTTTTCACCCTGGCTAGTTTTACCTGGTCTCTTCTGCTGACTTCTCTTTCATTTCCCAGCCCATTTCAGCCTCTGGTTTCATCTATTTTCCTTCTCCAGCCATTCCCACTCCTTAGAACAGCTCTAAATATCTACATGGTATCATCTGCGCCAGCTTAATTAATTTTCCCCAAGTTCTCACCTTCTATCTCTGTGTACTCAACAGTTATACTTGGATGTTTCACAGATAAATTTAATGCAACTAAGTCAAAATTATTAAATTCTAAACCCAATCACAAATTGTTGGCAAATTGCACTGCCATTGACTCTACCACTAAATCCTTGGTGGTATCTGTGATCTTTTTTCCTCAAGACAGTGTTTGCTCACATGCTCAACAAACCAGAGATTCATTTTTTTTCTTGTTCATATCCATATCCAGTTTGTTACTGAGTCTTTTTCCTTCTTGAGTCTTTCTATGTAGCCTTGGTTGGCCTTGAACTCTTGATCTTCTTTGCCTCAGCCTTCCAAATGCTGGGATTACAGGTGTGTACTACAATATCTGACTCATCAAATTCTTTTGACTTTCCTTCAAAATATTTTCCAGATATGACTACTTCACATGGTCTCCATTATCACTCATCTAAGACAAGATCAACTTCCACCTGTGTTTCTGCTTACATTCTCCATCCTCTACATTTCATTATTACACAACCAGCACACAAAGAAATCTTTTAAAAAAGTAGATCAGATCTCATCACATTCTAAGGTTCCTTGGAAAGGCTTCTCCTATCATCTAAAACAACTATCACTTCTATCCCCTTATGCTACTATAATCTGCTTCACTGTATTTGACATTTACCCATACTTTTAGAATATGACTAATTATACTTAATTTTTGTGTTCCTTACTAAAAAAAGTGTTAGAAAGGCAGAGGCACTGTGTGTTTTATTCACTGTTGAATCCTTACTCTTTAGAACAGTGTCCAACATACTCTAAATATCAAAGAAATGTCTGTGGAAGCAGTGAATAATCACATATGAATTTATGAAAAACAGGATTTTTAGGAATTCTTTGTTCAAGTGAATGAAGCATCTGGGAAGTTCCTACAGGTCTCTGTCCATGTAGACACTGAGGTCTGGACTCACCCGTGACATCTGGAACATACATAGTACTTTATTCTTTGGCATAGAGGAAAAATGAAGGACTGCTGCTCTACCTTCCTAGACAACCTTAACATTTCTTCTGTTATTATACATGACATTATGAGACTATTATCTGAGATGATACTGTTTATGTCTAAATGTGCAAAACAGAGACTGTAGCTGGGTGTGGTGGTACACACTTGTAATCCCAGTACTCAGGATATTGAGGCAAGAGGATCATGAGTTTGAGGCTAGCCAGGGATATACAATGAGGTAGATGTTTTGAAAAACCAAAAATAAAACAAAAAGCCTAGATTTTGTGTTCCTGGAGATTTCTCCTATTTATCTTTTAACAATGAAGCTACTGTCCAACAATTAGATTATATATAATTTTAGCTGTAAAGATGTGTTTATGTTGATTTACTTTCTTTAACTCAAGTTGAGATTACTATTAAACATCGATAAGGTGATAGTTAGAATTAGACATATTGTTTCTGATCATGGAAGGCAGTAAATATAACCGGTCAATATATAGGAATAACAGTAGGAGACTGGAAGAAGGGAAAAGGTGGGGAACTTACTGTGACTCTTATGTATATTAATTATTAATAAAAGTGGACTGCATCAAAAGAGTGGAGTGCATGTATGCTGTAGGAAATCTTAATATTTATCAAGAAGGAGTAATTTCAACCCACATGTGAAGATGTGAAGAACAGGAGACACCAACTCCACTGTAACTTCAGAGCCTAAGTACTTTTACATACACACTTCCACATTTCTGGGTCTTTCAGGCCATTAAGTGGTCAATGAGTGAGGAGATGAACAAAACAAAACAGAAAAAAACAAAACTTTATCTCTGAGTTGCAATAAATTTACTTGAAAGCTCTAATATTGACAATATTTATTACAGAGGCATTCAGAGAAACAATTCTACTTTTAAACTACAAAAAATATTATTCAAGTAGCAGTGAGGAAAAAATAGAAAAATCTGACTCTATAGTGTAGACTGAATGAAATTTTGCATAGTATTAAATGATTAAGAATGTGAAACAGATTCAAAATGCTGAACATTTTTCCTTGCTCTCCTACCCTCAGGACAAAGTCCACACTTTCTTTTCGTGCTATTCTTTTCTTCCCACCTTAAGACACGTTCTCACTATGTAGCCCAGGATGACCTTGAATTCATGACCCTCTTGCCTCTGCCTCCCCAGTGCTCAGATTACATACCCAGTCCTTTAATGCTATGTTGAAAAACATTTTACCCAACCTTATCCAGAGCAATAGGAATAGGAACTTGAGTCATATATAGAAAAAATGATCTTTCTAGGTCATGTCTCTTAATTGCCCTAGGATATGTAGAAGCTTAGGAAGAATCATTTCTAAGCGAATGAGGTTCCAGAACCCTTTCAATTTAAGCCCTTTGCATGGGAGATAATTTATGGTTCAAAAGCAAGCAAGCACATACCTGTAAACTGGTCCTAACTGTTACAATTAGTTTGAGCCAAGAAGGAAAATTTCCAATCATTTTGCTCAGAAATGATACAATTGTATCCCCGTAATCCGGTTTGTGAAATTCTGCTTCATTTAATCCATCAATTAAAATGATGAAATCTTCATCTGGGATTTTTCTCTCTGAGATAGAAAGAAACAAATTATTTCATAATTACCAAATAGACCAGTTTTTACTGGGTCTTTGATCACATATCAGTCTGGAGAAAAGTATCAGAAAAGGCCTCTTATGAGGCCTCAAATGCTCAGGGTACATAACTTATAAAGACACGAAATCATTTGGTGAATTAAATTTTGTTTTTCATCACACTTTTAAAGCTTTCGTCACATAATTGAATATGTGTATTACTTTCAGGAATCCCCATATTTTCACTTGCGAGATAGTCTAAGAATTGGAGTTATGAGAACTTTTATATGGAAATTCTTTTTCTCACACATGTAAAAGCTAAATAGATTAAAAAAAATCTGATAGCATTAAAGATAACATATTATATAGTCTTTTGGAAATTCTCAAAAGGGGGTCTAATTTAGAGACTAAGTAGTATATAGGACTATACGTGAATGTGTACTAGGAAGGAGAGGATGGAGGACCAGAGAACAGAGCTCTCAGCTATAAATAAGAACCTGGCAGCTTCCTAGACAATAATGAGACAGGCCCCTCAGTGACCTTCCCAGGGGAGTACGCATGTAGACAGTAGTGCTGGCATTTAGTTCCCTTTTGGATTCTACTCCATCCTAAACTGATTAAATCAGCTTATCTTTAGGTTCAGGCTAAGGGTGGCTTAGTGAGATTTCAGGCTTATGCTCTCAATAACTATAATTCCTGAACACTTCTGGGTATCTAATGAAGAAATAGGCCTTATCTGAAGAGGAAATGAAGCTAGGCTTAAAATAAAAGGTCTGGAAAATGATGGCTCTTTTTGACTTTATAAGTAAAAAACAAACTATACATGGTATTTTGGTTTTATACATGAACGTACAATTAATAAGTTAATTTTATTAAAGTATAAGTTTTATAAGGGAATTAATTTCAGTATATTAATATTATAAACTCAGTCCTCAAATTATGAAGAGGTGTGTGTGTGTGTGTGTGTGTGTGTGCGTGTAGTACTGGGGATTGAAACCAGGGCCCTGTGCATGTTGGGCAAGTGCACCACTGAACTACATTTCAAGGCCAAAGAGTTTTAACTATTTAAGTGGCTACATTTAGGAAAAGAAATGAACTATGGATTCCAGCTCTAGTTTATGATAATGACTATTAATAGAGTGGTATTCTAAGTGATGTGGGCACTAAGAAAACATAATAGTCTTTTACAGAGTCCAAAGAATTAAGGGGAAAAAAAAGAGGAATTACTTTAATGAATTTACATAAGCAACTGGGAGCTGTTAGATTCTTGATTTTGAGGACTCTGGCTCCCTGAAGCTTCTATGTCTTTAATGTCCACAGAGGAATTTTTTAGGTATATTTGGTTGGCTGAGCACCTTCCCTGAATCTAGTGTGATGGAGCAGTTCTCTGGAGGGTCAGGAGAGCCCACTTTTTATTTTTTTAAGAGCTAGTTTTTAAAAAGTTGATAGCCTGAAACTAGTTATGTTGGGAATTTATACACAATGGAACCAGGCAAGTGGTAAAATCAGCGTTCTTTCCTAGATGACTGCTAAAAATTTCCCAGCACACAATAGTCCCCACCCTTCAAATATCTATCTTTTAACTCCACCTAGATTCTTTCTGAAGAGAGATCTTCAAGAGGAGAAAAAGGCTGATAATAATGTATCCACAGAAAATTATTTTTGGGGCAAACATTTCAAATAAATTCTTAAGTGTAAAGATCAAGAATGTGTGCCACATTTTCATTCTATAACATGACATGGATTTAAACAAAAATTTTATTACATTTTATGTAATTTTATTTATGCATGCACACATGTACTCATATGTGTCAAGGCACATGTGTGGAGGTCAGAGACTAACTTGTGGGAATCAGTTCTCTCCTTTTACCATGTGGGTCCCCAAAGACAGAACTCAGGTAGACAGGCTTGGAGGCAAGTGTCTTTTCTTGATGAGCCATTTCAGTCACCCTGGATGTCTTAATGAATGAAGCAATTCATGTACTAATAAAATGAAATTTTCCTTTGCACAAATTTCCAGGATAGTACACTGTTCATTCCATGAGTAAAATATATCATTTCTTTTTTCTAATAAGGGCTGGGTTTGTAGCTTGATGGTAGAATATTTGCCTGCCACACCGGAGGTGCTGTGTTTGATTCACTAGCAGTGTAAAAAGGGATACACTGCTTCTCTAAATCGGGGGCAGGGGTTTGCTTGTTTGTTCTGAGATTCTCCTCTTCCTCTGAAGGAGTTACTTACACCTATGAATGTAGGTTTATGAGATGTCAATAAATGCTTCATCTGTTAAGAAGTCAGTATGGCATGTTAACATAAGGCCATCATAATTTTTTAGGATTTAAATTTAAAAATGCAAAGAATTTTCTAATGTTATGGATGCTATAAAACAATGAAATCTATTGCCAAAATAATTCCTTTTTCTTTGGTAAATGAGGCTTGCCAATTATATACTTACGAGACCTTACTGGTCATTAGACTTTGTTTTTCAAATGCAACTAGCCTTACAAGAATACATCTTCATATCTTTTTTGAGCATTTATAAATTTTTAAAAGAATTTTAATCTCTGTATCCATGGGCCTGCACGACCCACAGGCCTCTCTCCAGGGTAAGTCAATCCAGGTCCTGCGCACCTTGACTCCCCCAGCCTCACTTACCCTCCCATCTCCACCATCCGTCTCTCCTTCTAGCCTGGGTCCTGTCCCATTCCTTGTCTTGGCGCCCCAGACACCTGGGGAACCACCACTGCTTGCTGATCCTTTGCATCCAGACCAACCCAGTTCCTTTTTGGGTCCCCACGAGCACTCTGGGCCTGGCCCCGCCCTCACATCCCTCTACTTCCCTGGGCCTGCATGACTGCCAACCTCTTTCCTGGACACCAGGGCTGACCTTTCCTCTTCCTGATCCTTGGAATCCAGACCAACCCAGTTCCTCAGGGCAGTCCCCAGGAGCCCTTGGGGCTACTTCCAGCCCCCATCTTCCTTTGCACCTGTGGGTGGAACGGCCACTAGCTGCCCTAGAGCAGCATCTTTCTTGGGCTTTGCTCCCAGGCCAGTCCAACCACCAAATTCCTGAGGCCAAAATCTTTCCTGGAGGGATCCAGACCTTACGAGAAAGCCTGAGAGCATCTGATCCTCATCTGACTTGGGCCTCTGTGGGTTCACTCCTGAAGACAAAAGCAATCTGGCCACTCCAATAGAAAATCAAAGGAGAGAACCGGAGGCTTAGAGGAACCAGCTTTTCATACCCAAAAAGTTTACAAAAAGAAGCAGATCTAAACTTGAAGGCTTGAGTCTCACACAAGAATCAGAAACTACAAAAGAAACTCAGATGTCAAAATCACAGAGAAAAAATAATAACATGAAAAACCAAAATAACATATCCCCACCAAATACCAGTAATCCTCTAGAGGAGCACAATG